CCTCCCCGAGGCGCAACTCCGCCGCGGTCCGGGCGCTGCCCGCGCAGGACCTCGCGTCGCTGATCGTGCTCGGCGACCTGGCGACGAGGGGGTTCGAGGATCAGCTGGGTACGCGGCGTATGGCCGAGTACCCGCGACACGTCGTCAACGAGTGGAACGTGGCCGTTGCTGAGAATGTGTTTCGGCATGGCGTACACTTCCTGCGCGGTCAGGCGCGGCGCGGAACTGCCAGGTCCAGCTCGAACAAGGCGGGAGGAGGATCAGCAGAAGGGATGGAGGCGTGCGCGGCAGCGGCGGTCTGCGATGTTGTACGTGAGATGCATTGCTGGGAGGCCGGTGACGAGGAGACGCTGCCTGGGCTGAATATGACCATACGGATGGCGTTCCGGGAACAGGTGGACTGTGATCCGAGCGAGGCTGTAGAGGAGGCGGTTCGGGTCATGATGGGACGGAAGGGCGGGGATAAAAAGTGACGACATGAGCGATGTAGCATGGGGCGTCTGCATGAGTATGAGAAACGGCTGGTGGATGGGTGGTGCATCATGGCGTTGGTGGGGATGTTGTGTGTGATGTGAGTATAGCAATCACGCATCTGCTTCAAGCCTGGAGGGCGTGATGATATGGTTCCTCTGGTGATGTCTGCGGGCGTACCAAGCCGCTGCTCCAATTGTCTGTCACAATTCGCAATTAGTGAATGGCCATAGACACCTCCTTGGGATGCGCACGCCTGACGCTCTTCGATGATCAAGCTGGCTGCTGTCGATGGCCTGCATGATGGATCATGCAAGCGGGACGATTGCGTGATGGATGCTGGCCCCTCCATCTATGATTCAAGATGTGGGGTCGCTTGCCGTCCGGGTTCTCTCCTGCATCTGGCTCACCGAGACGCGCACGGATCATTGTCATCGCATACCTCGGTGAGAGAACAGCGGGGCCCTTTTTCGCAATCACATGACCGTCACCACCAATACCGCCCGTAGGGCAGGTGAGCCCTCTCAGAAATTTGAGTCTGCCCCATTTTCGTGACCTCGTCAAGCGAGACCCTCTCAACCGCAACCCGACCAGGTCAACTCCATCCCACGCCACGCCAATCCAGCAATTCGCTCTTCGACGTCCACATCGAGAAGCGAATTCCCTGAACCTCACGACCGCAACCATGGCTGACGACGAATACGTACGTGCTGTCTCTTCCTCCTGCGCTGCGGGCGAGCGCCGATGCGACTGCTCTCTGCTCGTTTTGCCGCCCACCACCCACTCACACCATCACCACTGCTGCCGCCGCCGCCACCATCACCACATCGACGACGGAACCTTAGAGACATGGCATCGAAACTTGGCGGCAGCGTATGTTGCGTGTGTGTGTGAACGGTGGACGGCGGAAGAACGAGGAGCAACAAGAACCGAGTAGTTCGCAGCGCAATCGTCGCAGCGCAGCCAAAACGAAGAGAAGAGGAACTTTTTAAGGCTAACCTGGGGTCAACCACGCAGAACGCTGAGGAGGCCGCCGAGCTCAAGAAGAAGAGAGCGTTCCGCAAGTTCTCCTACCGTGGAATCGACCTTGAGGCGTACGTAGCCCCAATCCTCCACCTCCCCCCTCTTTGTGCACCTACACAGTGATGATCTTGGGCAAGCCGAGCAAGCAAGCGGCGAGGCACGAATGATACAAGACGGAACAGCAGAGCTAATACGAAACCGCACAGTCTCCTCGACCTCGACTCCGAGCAGCTCCGCGATGTCGTCCACGCCCGTGCCCGCAGACGCATCAACCGCGGCCTGAAGCGCCGCCCCATGGGTCTCATCAAGAAGCTCCGCAAGGCCAAGCAGGAGGCCAAGCCCAACGAGAAGCCCGACCTCGTCAAGACGCACCTGCGTGACATGATTGTCGTGCCCGAGATGATCGGCAGCGTCATCGGCATCTACTCCGGCAAGGAGTTCAACCAGGTTGAGATCAAGCCCGAGATGGTTGGCCACTACCTTGGAGAGTTCTCCATCTCTTAGTACGTTCCCACCATGCGTCGCGCTGCGAGCGCGCCCGCGCCCAAGCGACGTCGCATCGAGAGACGCAAGTTGCTAACAACCACCACAGCAAGCCCGTCAAGCACGGTCGTCCCGGTATCGGTGCCACGCACTCTTCCCGTTTCATTCCCCTGAAGTAAGGTGTGGGATGGGTGTTGGTGGTCAACGATTTGGTCGGCACGAAGGGACAGAGGTTATTGCATTCACGGTCATCAAACAAAGGCGAACGGGAATGGACTCGGTAGCATGGCAGTGCAAAGCCGCTACCACCTTGATTCGGCAACGGTAGTGAATAAACGCCTTGCAACCCCAAAAAGAGATGCTTTACGATTCACCTGCTGTCCATCTATGCATGTTCATGTCTGTGTCGTGTCGTCTCGGATGTAGTAGTGCGTCTCGGGTGTAGTGCCTCGCCTCAGGTTTCAGGAGAGAGTTCCGTCCACCGTCGGCAACCCAGTATCAGCAGAGGACAACTCTTTTTTACCGTGGCTAAGACTCGCTGCAGCCGTGGAGCCGATCCCATGACGCGATCTCACAACCGTCTGCAGACAAGCTAAGTATGTCAATCACAAGACGAGGCTGTAAAACCAAACGCTTGCTACTCATTCAAACTAATAATAAAGCTGCAATATTGACGCTGCAGATCCGCTTTCGTGCATGGCGATCTTGCTACGCCTGTATATAACGCCTCATGAGTACTCAATATGGGCAAGCCAATTCCGCGTCGTAGAATAGCTGGAAGAAACGGCCCTACGTATGTTCTTGAGGAACATCAACATCCAGGTTTCTGTCCGCAGCGGACAGCTTCCTCAGCATCTTTGTAAGGCCTCCACAAGAATTTCTGCGAAACTTCTTGAGAGCCTCCTTGGCTCTTGGGCCAAAGGACTTGGCATTTTCTGACAGGTTGTGCTAATGCCATGTCACGCACCTGCGTTCCTTGCATACGCTGCAAAGACATCTGAAGTGCGGAGAAGAGATGTAGTCGACAAAGATTTCCTCTCCTGCCTCCAGGTCGCGAAGAGCTTTGAACCTGGCGAACACAACATCATCTTTGACTTGAGGAAGGCATTCCATCGTGGCGTTCACCCGGCTTCGGACTCGACTGTTGGGCCCGGCAGGGCATGCATGGTTGACTTTGCTGCCAAGATGGAAGACACTTTTCTTGGCCTCGTGTGTCTCCTGTTGCTCTTCAAAGCTATGCGTTTGAAGTAAGTTCCAAAGTTTGCGGTTGTTTCTGTCTTGGGTACGATCGTACACCCCGGGTATAACTTCCAGGTCTGGATAGTTGGCCATCAGTCGTTTTTGGTTGTTGTGTGATATCACATTCCAGGCACCAGACATCTTGTCATAGTCAGCGACCGCCCGGAGAACTGAAACTTCTTCGAAAATGATTTGACTTCTTGCAACTGGAAACTTGGTGAAGAGGCCGTCACCACACCCCTGAATAGAAGAAGGTCCAGACATGACGAGACTTTCCGGCCTCGCTGTCCTTGGGTTTGGGCGAATGTCAGGCACTGTCAGAGGTGGTGCTGGTGTGATCGCCATGTCGTCTTCGTCATTGGTGTCTCTAGGACGCTGTCTGGCCAATGACTCGGCGAGCTCGACAGGTACGGCATCGGAGGATGAACTGGTCGTGACCGGATGGGCTGCGGAGTTTCGAGATGGACCAGGAGCACTTTCTTGCAGGAGAGCGTCAGTGGAGGAATCTGCCATAGCATGGAGCCCTCCTGTAAGTGCTGTCATTGGGAGTGCAGTCGAGCGTTCGCCGCCACGAGCATCTGCGAGAGTCCCATCGCCCGGCCCAGTTTGGGTACCTGTTTCAACTTGTCCCGGTTGCATGATTTGCAATTCTTGAGATTCTGGGCCATCCTGCGCACTCTGGTTACCCTGGGGTGTGTGATGGGTGCCGGGAAATGTTTGGACAGCCTTGGACGATAGATGGAGACCGCGAAGCCTGCGGTACATTCGACTTTTGTGGGAAACCCTTGTGAACCATGAAATGGCTTGGATACTCGCGAGCTCGTGCTGATCTGAGAAGCTCGTGGAGCCCTGGAAGACCGAACTGATGCAGTTCGAAGCAGAGCTGGGGGGGCCTGCGAGGCTTGCGAGCCCTGAGGTTCTGGATTGACCAACATGGACAGCGGAGCTGACGGGGCCGTCTGACCCCTTTGAACCCCGACAGCCTGTGAAACGGAAGGGAATGGCCCTAAGAGGCTTGTCTGAGATGTCCGAGTATTTGGGTCGGGGAGGGGTGCCAGTCGTTGCGCGATGGACTGAACCCAAGTGGACGTCATGTCCTCATCTTGATTTTCGGTGATGGTAGAAATACCTAAATCTGCCATGGTATCGACTGTTGGGTAATACAATTGTACGTGGATGGAAAAGCTCAAGACAAACCTGGATGACCAAGGATGTGGACGGGTATGAATGGATGTTATGAACGGGATGGGCTGGGCGAAAGATGGTGTTGGAGAAGAGGAAGAAAGGGTAGAGGAGGGAGAGAGTTGAGGATGCATCTTTGACAAGGTCAGGATCCATGAAAGTGACGCTCGCGGAGCAGGCGCAACGAGCTTGCTCTTGCTGCGGATAGGTTGGAACAATGAGGCTGCTGCTGTCGGTACAAGCACGACCAATGTCTTCGGCGGCCTTAAGGTATGGTAATCTTTTTGCGAGAAGCACGGCAGGCACTATCTTCTCATGTTCATGCGTCTCTAAATCAGAAGGCGCGAATATTCAGCCAGCCAAGGCAATACCTTTGGGAGACGCCCGATCCTGCGCTCTTCAAAAGGCCCTGGTCGTCAGTGTTCTGGGACAGGTTCTGCATTCGGGGGAACAATTTCATGCTTGTGCCTTCTCAGTATCTCAATGCCCGTCACATTCTTTTGCCTCGCCTGGGTTGTGAGTCGTCACTTTGTGCCCTTGAGTGCTCATTTCACAAGTGGTTCATGCTGAGAACAACCATGTGGACAAATGGAATAGGTGTTGCAGATTTCCCGTCTCTCTGCTAAAAAGTTTATGTACCGGTATCACACACTCGCGAACGCTGACCCGCTTTACTGCTGCTCCGCCGCCAGCTTCCTCGCCTTGCGCTCCTCGTCCTCGATGTGCTTCTTCTGGTAGTGGGCGACGACGTGGTCGAGGTTGGTCTGCGAGCCGGCGACAACGTTGCGCGCGGCCGAGTTTTGGAGGGCCCTTAAGGGAGGAACCATGTCAGCGCTGGGTGTGTTCTGTCGGGAGGAGCGGAAGACAGGAGAAAGAAAAAGACAGAACGTACTCGGGGAACCGCACATCGACATCCCTGTTGGGCTCAGCGTAGAAGAAGAGGGCGCGGTCGAAAACCGGCCTGCTCAACCGCCTTGGTATGCAGGTGGTTGCGCTCCTCCCAGGCGCTCTGCCAGGACCAGTAGGAGTGAATCTTGCGGGTGAGCCACGGGTCCTGGCCGTCCTTTGCCGGGCTGGGAGATGGAGTAGACGATGAAGCTCGTGGGGATGACGGCGAGGCTGACCCAGAAGCCCTTGCCGATGGGCTCGTTCACGGGCTCAGCATGGTGGTGGTGGTCAGAAGCGAAGCGGCGGGGCTGGCGGAGGGCCGTCGGCGTTTTCGTCTGGCGAGCGATGCAGGCGGTTCGAGTGCGGAGGGCCTGCATCGTGGGCGAGCTTGCGGAGGGAGCGGGAGAGGGCGAGAGGGTCAATTGGCTCGCGCGCGGTGGGTGGTGATGTCGTAGGTTGATGGATTGACCGGGTTGGGAGGTGTGGTTTGAAT